ATAAGAGTAACAAGAGGAATGTTGCACCTTTTCAGTTGTGCAGGTCCAGAGTGTCCTTGGGATTGCTGACAAGCAGAACGTGTTCTTAAGACCCTGGAATCAGGGAGAGCTGTCTCTTTAAATATCCAAAATGGACAAGCTGCTTATAAACATTCAAAATGGCAGCGCCCTCTAGACAGGCAAAAGTCTACACCTCAGCCTGCCTTTCTCTTTGCCTTGTCTGTTTATTCCCCAACCACCAGAGTAGTTCTCCATGCAGTCCCTGGCTAGCAGGGCTGATTTTTAGGTTAATTCTTAGGTCCTACCACCACTCGGCACTCTCTAAGCTGTTTGTGCCATCAGGATCACTCAGGATCACTGCCAGACTGCAGCTCTGTATGTCTCCTCTTTTGGTATTTTCATGCAAATTCTTCTGCTAGTTGGGGTTTAGTCCACTTCTATATCCTTCCCTTCATGGTTTGGGGGTCCAGGGTTATCTTCTGTGTGTGTGTTAATTGGTTTCCCTTTTCTTTGTTGAAGAGGGTCTGTGCAGTCTTTCTGCCTAGTCCGCCATCTTACCAGAACTCTTCTGAATTTTTAACTTTTTAAATGTTAACCTTTAACAATCTTAAATTGAGTTTGAAGTCTTTCTTATTTTTTTCCATGACTTTTTTTGAAATCCAAGACATTTATGAGTGTAACAGGTGTGTAGTGTACCCTAATGACGTTAAAAGTTAGAAATGAATCTTTGCTTTCAATGTATTTATAATTGGAAAGACGGATTTATGGAGATAGCACAGTTTTGAACTTTAGGTCTGCTTATATGTGGATTTTTTTTCAAGATATGGATCTTGGAGAAACTCTAGAGCTAATAGACACCACACCAGAGGAATTAAGAAGACGACTTGATGGAGATGAGTGCTCCTGAACCAGTGCCAGAGGATGAGGAGGAAGACATAGAAGAAGCAGCACCAGAAAACAAATTGACGTTAGACAATCTGGTCGATGGGTTCTGATTATTCAAGACTGCTTTGGACTTCTTTCCTAAATGGACGCTTCTAAGATAATGGCCACTGGAACTAAAGCAAATGGTAGAGGAAAGATTGGTACTGTATAGAAATATTCTTAGAGAAATGAAAAAGTAAAAAAATCAGCCAGAGGTTGTGACGCATTTCCATAAAATTATACCAAGTGTACCTGCCTCTCCTTCCACCTCCTCCACTTCTTCTGCCTTTGCCACCTCCTGAAACAGCATGACAACCCCTCCTCTTCCTCTTCCTCCTCAGCCTACTCAATGTGATGATGATGAGGATGAAGACTTTTATGATGATCCACTTCCACTTAATGAATAGTAAATAATAATCATGCCATATAGTTAATAAACTTATCTGTGTGTATGTATGTGTCTTTGTGTGAAAATCTGATAACTATGGCAAGAACTGTGTTAATCGATTGCTTATGTTATCGGTAAGGCTACTGATCAACAGTAGGCTATGAGTAGTTAAATTTTGGGGAATTCAAAAGTTATATGCAGATTTTCGACTGAGTGTGTGTGGGGGGTGCCCTTTATCCCTGCATTGTTCAAGGGTTAACTGTATATAAATAACTGAGTGAGTTTAGGGACAACTCTAGAGTATTTAATTTTGGTTTATCTGTGGCTAATCTTGTTTTCAAATAGGTAGACAGA